AGAACAGCCAAGGTTAACCCACCACAACCAAAGGGGCAAACTCCACCTCAGCTGCTCGCTTGCTCCCCTCCTCAACAGGACAGGGGGGGAAATAGGATGGGTCATGATAAAGACGGGGAGATTGCTTACCAGTTACCACTGCAGGCAAAACAGACTCAACTTGGGGAAAATGAATGTAATTTACTGTTAATTAAAATAGACTCAGGTAGTGAGAAACAGACAAACATTAAAACAACGCCTTCCCTCCCCTCTCTCCTAAGCCGAACTCCTTCACTCCAGGCTCCCCCAGCTCCCACCCCGAGCAGCGCAGGGGCAGAGGGCAGGGGCAGCTATGGTCGGTCCATAACAGCTTCTCTCTGTGGCTCCTACCCACTCACATATTTCCCCTGCTCTGGCATGGTCTCTCTCCCATGGACTGCAGTCCTTCAGGAAAAAAAAATAAAAAAATAAAAAAATTGTTTCAGCACAGGCTCTCCACAGGCTGCGGTTCCTTCAGGAACTCTCCACCTGCTCCAGTGTGGGGTATTCACAGGTGCCATGAAGATCTTCTCCAGCATCATGGAACTGCTCCTCTGACCTTGGCATTCCCTCTGCTGTTTCTCACTCATTTTGGTTCCCTCATCCTTTCTCTGTCAGGTGTTATGCCCTTTCTTAAATATGGTTTTCCCAAAGTGCCACCATCTCAGCTGTAGGGCTCAGCCGTGCCCTGCGGTGGGTCTGTTGGAGCCAGCTGGAACCGGCTGTGTCCGGCACGGGGCAGCCCCGGCCTCTCCTCACAGAGGCCGCCCTGCAGCCCCCCCATCAGCACTGAGCACCTGCACCTGGTACACAGGTTTAGTCAAGACTACTAGTGTTATTTAATAATAAAAAGAGTATTTTATGTGCTCAACCTAATCCCATAATCTCTATATAAAGGATTTTCTGATCAATCACACAGGAATAGTATCAGACACTAAATACTAAATGGTACTACGAGAAAAGTAGTTCAGAAAACCTAAAAGCATCTGCAGAAATTACATCCTTTCTGAGGATCAGACATGACAGGGAAGCTCACACTGAACGCTGCAACACTTTCAGCAGGTGGGAGACATCGTCCACCCCTATGGCCATTGCAGTTAACAACACAGAGCGGGAAGCGTGGAGCCAAAATGCTGTCCAATGTAAACTCCTGCTCAAACAAGTCAGACAACTGCTCATGTAATATTAAGTCATTTTCTCAATTATTTGAGGACACTGCTGATAAAGGCAAGTCCCAGCCAACGATTCAGCAGCCTCTCCTCTCCTTTCCCCCTTTTGTCCCATTTCGGATTTCTCTGGAGCAATCCTCCTTTGTGCAGTACCGAGTGTAACACAGCTCTGATATGGGTACGTGGGTCTGAACTGTGACACTAAGCCGAATCTTCTGATTTCAAGAAACCAAAAATTAGAACAACGGTCCTCAAAAAAGGAGACCCATTACTGCCAATAATTTCACAACCTAAGTTCACTACATGGCTGTAAGTGAAATTACCAAAATGCAGCACAGCATTACTGCAGAAATGTTTGTATATTAGCATAAACACAGCGGAATTCTCATGAATAAAATATAATGCAATTTGAATTAATAAAAGTTTGCTTTAAGTTATAAAACAATTGTAGAGCTAAATATTGCAACTTACATGAACAACAGAAAATGTTGAGGCTTTCTACGGTTTAATCATCATTAATGGCACAAAGGAAATTATTTACTATCGAATGGGTGAGAAAATACAGAAAGAAGGTCCTTGCAGTATTGATTTTGCACATAAAATGAATTCCTTCAGCTGCATTTGCAATTGTCAAGAAGGCTTGAATACTATCAACTCCCTCTATTATGGAGCCTCAAGGAATAGCCACATAGTGGAGATGTCAAACTTATTTTTAAAGGATGAAACAAAACATACGACTGCTTTGTGGGCTTGACTAGTAAACGATTAAAGCATAACTCTGAGTAAACTGAATTTGTGCCAGTGTCAACGTAAAACTTTTTATAAAAGTCAGTACTATGACTTATTTACTGTTCTCTCAAAGCTCAGTATCAACACATCAGTTCACTCTCATATTCCTCCTTCATAACGCCATCTGGAATCACCCTGTAATATGCAGGATGGTGGCGGCACGAGCCTGCAATGTAGTGAGCAGCATAACAAGGCTAGGCGACCCCCCAAATTATTCAATGCTTTGGAGACCTAGGAAGAGTAGCTTTAGCACAAGCACACTCCCATAAAGTGTAACAGCTTCAAGAGCACCTTGGAAAAGACAAGGCAGGCCTTCACCATGAAATCATTCCTGTGCAGGGACAATTCGTCCCAAAAACCTGTGCGTGCAACTGAACAACCCACGCTGGAAATCTACGCTGATTTAACATTGAAGAATTGAACCACTAATGAGAGCTGTAAGAAAGAGTCCTCAAAACTGCGTGCCTGAAAGACTGTCTTTCCACTATCTATATTCAAGGTATTTTGTCCCTTAGAAGCTTATAACAGACTGTCAAAGCCAGAAGTATTGGCCAAAGTCAAACTACCCCATAGAAGTATTTAGCCTAATTTTGTGACCCTGTGAAGATACAAATCCCTTCTGTAGAAATAGCATTCAAGCCTAATTTGGATTATCACACCATTAAGATCTTTAATTCTCAAATTCTAATAAAACAAGGATTGCCCATTAGAAAGTGCTGAGAACAAAGTGTAAATAGCCAGATGCTGCAAAAACACTAAAACATACTCCCAAAAGCACACATAAGTAATGCTTACCAAAGTAGTAGCGTTATCAAAATGCATTAATTAAGAGGCATATTAAATAACAAATCAGTGATGCTGTTTAAGGCTTTATTACTTCTTAATTAAGTTTGGCCATGACACACAACTTCTGTGCAGCAGACACATGCAAACATGTGCTACCAAAGCATTACCAAGCACTACTAAGCCAGCAGTACTTGCAGAACTTAGGCCTAGATCGAATAGTATTTCAACAACTATTCTTCACAAACAATACTGTAAGTGTACTACTGTGTCGTAACTTCTATTGAAATGTGCCTCTTCACTCCAGATAAGGCTGAGGAAAATCACTACAGTTTATCCTCCTAATTTGTATGTTGTGGAACAGCAACCCATTACCTTACCATCTTTAGATTTTAAAAAGATTCCTTATGTACAATCCTTTCTTTAAAAGTTTACTCTTATAGTTTCACTGAACTGTAATTGATGATTATAGTTTTGTTCCAGTGAAAACTACACTAATTATCCAGATACCAAGTGTCACACTCCAGTTATGCCTCCGTTTGGTATAACAGAACAACATTAGATTGACCTCTGTAAAACATGCTGGATTTTTGGCCCTCATTCCCAAAAGACTCAATTTAATAATATTCCTAGCATCTCTCAGCAGTGCACAGTGCAGGCTAAAATTAGCTGAAACAGCTTATTAAATGTGTATTCACTTTTGCAAACTAAATTAGTAATCAAAACCCCACAACTTCAATCAGGAGCTTTGGAATAGGACAGAAATCACTAATCTTCTTTTACTCCTTACTCTGAAAATATGGTAAACTTTAATAAAGAAAATGTATGTATTAAAACTAAAAACTAATGCAAACCTGAAATACTGCAAAAACTTAAAACATAGCAGTTCTATAGAAGATAGCTTTGCAAGCTCATGAGAGTGTTAAAATTTCTAAACCATGATTACAGAGGGTAATATGAAGAAGTACTTCTTTACTATAAAGCAACTATTGGCTTTAACAAAGTAATATGGGTTAAATGAATTATATATAAAAATAGTGTGTGTTCCTAAGAAAAAGTTGCAGATTTTTCCTCAAACTGAAAAGTCAGGTAACCTACTCATTACAGTTCCTACTGTTTTTCAGACGTCTCCTCAGCTACTCACAAAACAGGCAAATTCCAGCAGTCCATGAAGCTTCTCAAAAGTATTTTAAGTAGATGCAGATAATCTGCGTACTTAGCCACATTTCTACAGAATACATTCATTGTTTTTAAATCCCACACAAGTGTTATCAGCTTTCAGCAAGAACATTATGCATCAATTGAAATAAGGATGTCTCTAGTCACAGTTGTATTAAAGAGTTCTAATGGAAATGTTCACATAAGAGTATCATGATTTTCACCGCACATTAAATAATTCCACAGACTCCAGTTATAATCAAAATTAACAAATTAGAAAATTAGCATACTGTCAGCTTCTTAAAGGAATGCATTTTTATTTCACGCTGAGTGTTTACTAAACACTCATGGTCAACCTTGATATTAATGTGACACAGCAATATAAGGCTTTGAAAAACTTTTTAAAAAGCACCCCAAACTGCCTTCATGTTATTCAATGCCATATTTTCTAAGACTAAAATTCTGTGCATTATATATGATCACCAATTTTTAAACCCTGTGAAGAGCCTCATATTGTAAAACTAGCAATTCCTAAATTGATCACCGAATTACTAACAGAAGAACATTCACATACAGTATTCACCATAGGTGTCCCACCTAGATTTGATGCCTCAAACATTCATACAATTAAGACTTTATTTTTGCCTGACATGTTCTGACTTACCCTCATTTCAGTTCTCGCCAGCAAAAGAAAAAAAACCACAAATCACTATTTTACTTGTTTCAACAAAAAACTGTTGCAAAATGTGTGTGAGAAAAGACCAATATGAAGAGAAAAAACAGTTGTCCGTATGGGGCTAACATTCTGAACGAAAAGCCACGTTACTCTCTATGTGGGAAACAATTTTAAAATCCTCTAGCAGAAATTTCTTTACAATGCATATCACATGCTAAATTCCATTTAAAATTAATGAACTCTCAGCTCATAATGAACTTTTGTTTACTGCTGTCAGCACTTTTGATAGGGTTTCTGGCATTCTCCCGATAGAAGCAGATGAATATAAAAATCCAAAAGGCTACTGTCCAAGACTGTCACTAAACAATGCAACAAAAGTTGTAAAAATAAGACTTTATCAGACTTACCGCCAGTGCTTTAGATAACTTTGTTCTATAGTTATTCAAAACAATCGCATCAATGTCCTTAAGTGGCACATAGGCAAAGCCATCTTTAATAAACACTCTTCTGGCTCTAAACAGATCCACAGCATCTGCAAGTCCAACCTGAGAAAGAAGAAAAACCCACACTGTGGGAGAGCAAAATAACGCAGTAACAATGTTCACAATCCTAAGATTCAAGATGGACCAGTAAAGCTTTAAGTCATTCTCTGTCTTTTAACGAAGCTCTATCCAGGCAAAACACAAAGATTTTGAAATTAAAAGTTGACTTTGGAATAGCTGATCATTATTTTGGTGGAAAAATATTGTTTACTTACAGAAAGTCATGCAACTAGGCAAAATAAGCTACTTTGAAGTTTGTATCTATGATTATTAGCCCAATTATGTAGCTTTGCATCACTTACTGATCTGATATTTGAAAATGGACTTCTGTTGGCCTTCTGTTTCAGGCATCTTGAAATATTTCATTCATGTAAGCTACATATAAACGGTCTTAGAAACAGATCTGGAACCCAACCAACTTCGCTCCAAAGAAGGATCGGTGGGCTACATTAGATACTTCTTTCCTCTCCCCTTGCTCTCTTGCAAAAAGAATTTCAGACTAATACAATCAGACCAAACCTAGTTTCAGCAACAGATGTTTGGGAATGTCTCCATCCTGAACGGTCTGTCAGCCAGGCAAGTTAAGTCATTTGTCTGGGAAACGTTAAAACTTAAGACCGTTTATTGTGGCGAAAGACAAGGGATGGCAGAAGAGGACAGAAGACATTAATAGTAGTTTAAAGGTCCCTTCATTCTCCCAGTCCCTCAACTCTACCCTTATACTGACATGAAGAAGAAGAGGAACTCATTAGTCTCGGTTAATTTAGATACTTTTATTAACTGTTAGCAGTAGTGTTATGTAAACTTAAAATCAGTAACTCCAAGTTTAACTGGAAGAGAATTAATGCAAATCTGTGGAATTTACCAGTTTCTACTTACCTTATAGAACATTTGTTCTTTTACTTTAATCATAGTGAGGCCAGGGGTTGATGCATACAGCTCATTTGCCAATTCATTTTTCAGGTCTTCACTGATCTAAAATTAAGAGTTTGTTTTAAAACTGCTGGAATATTTTAGAATAAGTCTTTTTTTTTTTTTAATTAACATGAGCTAAAAGATTACTTAATCTGTAAATATATCATCACTTTAGTTGACAAGGGAAAAATTACTACATATTCAGCAAGTGATCACTAATAGTTATATTTTCTAATATTCTACTAATAAGTAGAAACCAGCAAAACACTAGTGGTCAATAGTGTTAAATAACCTTCCTTCTGAAGCAGTGGTGCAGATTTTAAAATATAATAATTTTAAACATTAACACAACAATGATAAAACACACTTTTAAAAAGTCAACCTCTCCAAAATAAAACTTGTGACAATCCCTGCTTATTTCTAGATTTTACTGTATGCATTAAAACAAAGCATGATGACTTAATGGCAATTAGTAAGGACATAAACAACTTTGTCAGATTTTTAACAAAAACATCAGTTTCAGCTCATTTTTAAATCCAGACTTTAAAAAAAAAAAAATGACATATCATCTTATATTCACGGATTTATCTCTCCCTCCTTTTTTTTTTTTTGAGGAGTGAGAACAATGATATACTTATTGTTCGCTAAATGTTAGTGCTTTTCCAGTTCTTGAAACAGGTAAGTTAAGCAGCAGTGCTCTAATTTAAAAACTTAAAAGTATTTAAGCCAAAATTTCTAGCTTGAAAAATCATGGACAATGTTACACTTCCGAATATAAAAGCTTAAATACTGCATATACATAAATATATATAGTATGGTTTTTGACTACTTAATAATGCACCAAATACAGCAGAAAAGCCACACTTAAAATTAGCATTTTGTAGTGATTTTACTAGTCAATCAATCATTTTTGGGTTTTATTCAACAGAAAACAATTAACAACAAAATTTGAAATCAACTTGTTCCGCTTTAAATCATGATTAAGCTCAGGCTTTAAAACCTGAGAAAAGTAATAAATTTGAAAAAAATTAAATCATAAATAATCCACTCTGATAAAGCAGATCATACATGCTGGTAATCCAGCAACGATACCTAGTAACTTAACTACATGCAACAACAGTCTTAAATATTTGCACAATATGTTCTTAGTAAGTATAATGGAAGTACTTGTCCCTGACTGAAAGGGATTAAATGTTAAAGAACACAGAATAACTTCCCAAAACATAGATGGACACAGATGTCACCAGAGTATAATACACTGTGTAACACTGCTTTACATAAACTGGACGTGTCCTCTAAGACCTATGGAGAGGTGATACTAGGCTGCAGTCAAGATAGCATTTAGAGCCTAGGCAGGAACCAAGCCAAGGCTATCACGTGCAATAGACACCCAGACTCCAAACACAAAATAAAAAAGGCACTCGGTGTCCTTCCTCTCCGTGGAAAGGGATGTGCATAAGCAGTTCAGTTTCTTCTCCGAATTCAGCAGAATATCTAATTTGTTGACTGACACTGCTATGCAGTTAAATGGACATTTAAACAAAACTAAACACTTTTCTTGGAAGTCATAAAACCATAGAATACCAGGTTGGAAGGGACCTCAAGGATCAGCTGGTCCAACCTTTCTTGACAAAAGCATGGTTTAAATAAGATGGCCCAGCACCCTGTCCAGCTGAATCTTAAAAGCATCCAATGTTGGGGAAAGTCATAGGAAGGACCCTTGAAGTTGAAACTTGGAGGAGTAGCTCAGCAAATCCCTTCTATGAAAGTGATTTGAGAAATGCATATGAAATGACCAAGGCAGCGAGCGATGTCCAGAAGGCTTCTAGAAGCTATGTCCACATCTTGACATTATCTGTAGTACTCTCTCAGGAAAATCAGTTTAAAAAATAATAAAGCTGCCAGCAATGCAGAAGAATGTAACTTTGAAGACAGAGGAAATACACAGTAGCATTATATTTCTGCATCTGAAAATCTAATGCTGCAGGGAAAAACAGCCTGCAGGGAAACCATTTTTCTTTAGCAAAATAGCTGTATCAAAACAACTAAACGTGTTTGTGTAAGAGATATGAGAAAACACTTTCTATAAAATACACCCACTGACAATCTTATTTTTGTTAGTCTCTGGAAGATTCCTGCTTTCCTGGAACTATATACAAACTTCACACAGTGCTACCAAAACCCCTGCTACTCCTTCCAGATGATATATTTCTTGTTTAAATAAGTATAAATCTGAATCAGCACATCAGCCTGCAAGCTTGCCTTTCACCTAGTATAGACCAAAGTTTCAATGGTAATTCCAGAATAGTGACTTCCATTTTTCAGTGTAACAGTTTTATGCTTTCTTAATAGAAATTGCTTAAGAGAGTCCAGTCTACCATGTCATTCCAAATCCTCGGTGAAACTGTCTTCAAAGAAAAACAGTACAATATATTGTATAGCTATAATGGTTATAATTGCATTATTTCTTCTACGATATCTCACTAAAAAAAACTGTCAAACTGAGCCAAGGACAGGTTTTTTTTACAGAAAGCCATTAAAACAGTCCAGTCACTGTTTTACAGACAGACTTGCGGTACTGGGGGGAGAATGAGACGAAGGAAAGACAAGGATTCCTTGCTTAATTGTTTTACAAAAAACGATTAGCTCATTTTTATCAACAAAACCATTTTATTCAGTATTACATTTAATTTCAAGGGGGTTTTATCTTTTAATATACACATAAACTAATTATACTGACTGACTCCAAAACTTCACAAGCTGTCTAGATCCTTCTTTATTAATAATTTGACCATATCAATCTTGCACAGATGTAAAGTCACAGTGATTTTAGATTTTCTTGCATCTCACTAGCAAAAAATTTAACACTGTTGGGGTAAAAGTGATCCTGGTGAAACCTCCAGAAAAACAGATTAATGGGCCATGTCTAAAGATTTGCCTAAGATTGTGGACAGTGTTACCGAAAATACAGTTTCATCAGAAATTGTATTTTTTAAACAAACACAAATATTATTGCAAAACAATATTTCTCACATACATAAATAATACTTATAAAGCTGTTAAATCATTTACTTCTTACAGCCTCAAGTATCTTACAGGTTAGGCAAACGTTCAGCAGCCCTACAAACACTTTGCTCCTTGCCCTTTCACAAATTCCCATTGCCTTCATGTTTTTAGCTAATGGAGGGAGAGGAAGAAGAAACAAGGATATCCCTAGCCCCTAACTAAAGCTAGGAGATTACTCCAGAACACATTTAAAAATAAAACTTGCCTCCCTAAAGACTGGAACATTAAAAATAACCTTGCACTGGCATTAAGGATTTCACCATTTTCACATAAAATTGTATGAAATTGACTGAAGATGCAATGCAATGAAAATAAGCTCCTTACAGTCTAAGCTCAGACTCAAGCTTTCAGCTAGGTCATGCCTGTACCTCTGTATACAGAGCATCATGAAACACATATCCCAGTTCTTCTTGGTTCATGGAAGCTGGAAAAGCTTTTTTTTTGTCCTTTTCTTTTTTTTTTTTTTTAATTTTAATAAGAACACTACGGTTTGTATGTTTAATAATTTCACCTCTAAAATGGCACCCGCAAGAACACATTCCGGTAATCATTAAAAAATTAGACACAATTAAATACAGCTTTTAGGATTCTAATCAAGATTGGAAAGATAAACAGACTGCTTAACTTTTTACAGCACTCGATGTTTGCTAGGTAAAATACTGTGATGTTCAAAAGATTAAAAAAAAAAAGTAATCAACAGAATTCTTCTGAGGGTGTCATCTGGTGCTCACCTGACCCTCACACTGAACTGATGCAACGCACCCTACAGAAGACAATTCACTAGTTTTGCCTCATTAGTTTGTTGCCAGTTTAAAAACTGAAACTGCTTATCACCAAGGCAGTCCAAGGCACAAGCAAAGAACAATAACACCAGAAAAGGATCTTCCCTTTTCAGTGACAGTGGGTCACGCATCGTAGCTCGAAACAATTCAACACTTCATTGTAAGTTTTTGAGACAGAAAAATCAGAAAAATCCAGACGTGAAAAGGGAAGGCATGAGAGGAAAGGAAGGAAGCAAGGATTTGGGACAAGTTTGTATTCTTTCTAGTTTTCTTGCTTTCTACATGCAGTTTATTCATGATTTTAATCACAGAATGGTCCTGGAAACACAAAGACACATAAATTTAGATTAAAATATGAATAATTTAATATGTAAGGCTTGGTTAAACAAACATTGGCAGTGAGGCTGTCCAAAAACTTCAAAATAAATTTGATATCCCTACTCTGTTTTAATGAAGAGATAAAGATGCATGCACACATTATACTCCTATACATGCACAACTACTTAATTTTGCTGGTCCTTACTGGGAGACTTAGAAACAAGAACACAATGCACGAGTCCCTTCCCTTTCCAAGGCTCAGCCTCAGGTATTTACGGGCACACATCACTGGTGTCCTTCAAAAGCGAACTTTTTAAAACTTGCCTTTAGTCACTGAGCAGCTGGTACTCAAATGGCATAATACCCTTCTCAAAAATTATCAAATGGTATCAAACAGACAAAACAGTAATTTCCTAGTCAATCTTCTCCATTGCCACACAGCACAGTAGAAACTAAGCTAGAACTAGAATACAAAAGTATTAACCTAGAGACCATTAAATTTAAGAATATAAATTTAAAGTGTATTCACCTGGTTAATGAATACTAGCTTGATTGGGAAAGGACATAATTCCCAGCTGTCCTACCAATTAAGAGCATGAAGAGCCTTAAGTAAAACCTTTGAGGCTCATAAATCTGTTGTTCACAAATTTGATTACAATGTTTTCTTAAGAGTCATCAATTCCATTTTGGCTAGGTACAAATGAATTAAGAAGAAATTTATATTTCCCATGGTACTACCACTTACTATTTTAGCTCAAGTTCAGATTGCTGGCATTTCTAAAAATATAAAGGGCTGCACTTGGAATTATTATGTATTCTTATCCATTGACAGAAATGTTGTTTGGGCTTTTTTTTAAGTCAGGAGTGGGCACGGAAAGGACATTTTATGGATCT